AGATGGAGTTTCCTTCTATCGCCCTGCCTGGGGTACAAAGGTGTGATCTCAACTCACTTTAACCTCTGCTTCCCAGGTTCAAATGATTCTCCTTCTTCAGCCACCTGAGTAGCTGAGACTCTCACTACAGATGCACACCATCACACCCAGCTAATATCTGTATTTCTTGTAGAGTTTTCACCATGTTAACCAGGCGGGTCTCGAACTCCTGACTTCCAGTGATCCATTCACCTTGGCCTCCGATAGTGTTGGGATTACAAGCATGAGCCACCATGCCTGGCCAGGAATGTCGCTTTCTGACAGAACCAGAAGCCTGAAGTTGTCTTGGGACCCCAAGAAGAGAGAAATTTACCCAACTGATAGGTATTTGATGGTACAAACCATGACTGGATTGGGCTTTTAAAAAGTCTTTTCTGATAGTCTTTTAATGGAACATAGTTACATCAAAGCGAACTTTAAAAACCTATGTGAAAAATAATTACTTTTGCTGCACTTTATACAAATAATCAGGCCAAGTATAAGACTAAAGCTTTTTATGCAAGTAAATCAGTTTTACCATGATTTATCTTTAGTAGAAATGAAAGACTAAAGAGAGAAAAAAATAGATGTTGCATGAACTATGGTACGCCTGTTATTAGACTCTAGTCTCATTTGTTATTTTTGAGTGTTTTTCCAGCTATTTAGACCAATTCTGCTTATTCCTGTGACCACACCAGTGATCTCTGACTGCAGCTCAAAAGAAACAAGAGAGATGGGTAATATAAAAATCTGGATCAGTATTCTAATTTTGAACATGTATTGGAATCAGCTAGCAAACCCATATCAGCTTTGTTCCAACATTTGCCCAGTTCATGGAAAGCCTCCTTATTTAATTTACTTGGGATAATTTTACTTATTTTGCTTTACTGTTGTGGATTATATTGCTGTTATGCTTTTTGTGTAGAAATGCAGAATAAGCTTGCTCAACGTTTTCTTAAATAAAACACTTAATTTTGCAGATATTATCTTTTGTCAGAACTCAAAAGTTACAAATGGTCCTTGTCATACTGATGCTTTCTCACCTGACTAGGCATGGTGGCTCTTCCTTCTAATCCCAGCAATTTGGGAAGCCAAGGTAGGTGAATCACCTGAGGTCAGGAGTTCAAGACCAGCCTGGCCAACATGGTAAAATTAGCCACCATGCCCAGCTAATTTTTGCATACTAAAAATGCAAAAATTAGCTGGGCATGGTTGCAGGTGCTTATAATCCCAGCTACTCAGGAGGCTCAGGCAGGAGAATTGCTTGAA